ATTTGCTGTCATGTTAAACTTATATTAAAGTTTTTCTTCATTACCCATTTAAACCGTCTCCAGCCATTATTAGTCTCAAAGTGGGTTCCTCGTCATCGAAGAAGTGTAGACGTTTTTGCATCATCTGATTTGTACTTTATTATATTTACTATCGGCTAAATGTAGTTTTATTTACTAGGTTCTCACATGTATTTCAATACTGTTTGGCCCAACTACGAAGTAAGTTACCTATAAAAACGAAAGAAGATGCAATTTTTATAGATGATTTTATGTTGTCATATTTTTTCGTATAAATCAAATTAAGAATAGGACACTCATTAGTTGAATAATCTAAACAGTTTGCGGGTTCTTTGCTGTATTTTTTAATTTCATAAACATCCAATTAAATTTTTGTTTTATAGACGTGTTTCCGGCAAGTGGTGACATTATGTTCGATACAAGTGGTGTCATTGACTTACTTTTAATCTGGATTTCTTTTGCAGGTAAGTGTTCCCAAAAAAAACTAAAAATAAAATATAACAATATATTATTTGATCAGTGTTCAGCCTATTTATAGCAAGTAAATGGTTACTTCTATTTTGAATTTGATGCCAACATATTCTAAACGTGTTTTTAAATTACTCTTCCAAATGTTTCCCAATCTTCAATTCTAATAACTTTTCATGTAAGTTATGGTGCTAGTTAATGTTATATCTACAATAAAATTACTGATCAAATATCAATGTTTCTCTAGGAGAAGGTAAGCTTTGGCCTATGTTACAAAATAGCGTTTAACACAGATTAGAGACATTGAACTACACAAGCCGGTCCTAAGTTAAATTGTTTTATTCTAATAGTACCGACATGTTAATTTAGCGAGTTGAACTATACAACATTGTCTTAACTTTAGGTTATCTATTGTTTAGTGTTGACATGTTGATTTTGTGATTTAAATAATACAAGTAGGTTTAATGTGAGGTTATTTATGTAAAAAAAAACTGGCAGGTTAATTTAGCGAGATTAACCCTACAAGTAGGTCTTAAATTGGGGTTATTTATGTAATACTGCAGACAGGTTAACTTAGCGAGTTAAACTGTACAATACTACTTAACTTAAGGTTATTTATGTAATAGTGTTTACAGGATAACTCAAGGGTTATTCGTATAATAGTGCTGACAGACTAACTTATCGAGATGAACTATACAAGAACATTAGAACTTGACTTTAATTATGTAATAATTCTGACATTTTAATTTTAAGAAGTTTACCTATAGAATTTATTACAAATAGTTGTTATCATTAGGTATTTAGGTGATAATTTAATGAGTTGAACTACATAAGTAAGTCTGAACTTTAGGTTATTTGGAATATTGTTGACGTGTTAATTTGATGAGTCAAACTGTATAATATTTTAGTGCTTCCAAAATTTTGGTTTTGAATACAATTAATTGTGTTTGAGGCATGTGCATAACTACAATCTTGACCAAAATGTTTGCATATTTTGTAACAAATAAGATCATGATTATTAAGATGGAATACAAATACACTTATCGCTGTCAAACTGAGAAATGAATGTTATATTAAACATCTAAATATGTAATTTGTATAATAAGTCAGGTTCTATGGACACCATGAACGATTTATTAGAACAGCAAACAATTTTATCTGACACCTGTAGAAAGATGTGCAATTGAGCATTTCATCTATCACAACAAAACCTTACCAAAATATATGTAATGATGAAATATAACAGTAAATTATTATAAATAACATATGTAACCTTATAACAGTTCCTATTAAACATTCAGTACTTAGTTGGTCCTTTTCGTACTCTGATAACCTCCGCCAATTATTAAAATGGTTAAAAATGGCGTCTGTAACCTTATAGCAAAATGAATATATGTGCTTCATAGATTACACTAAGGCTTTTGATAGGGTAAAACACTTAAAGAAGTAATTTCCGAAAATGTACTCTTCATCAGTGTCATTAACCATACATCATGAAACACAGAGAAGCTTCCTATAGCAAGGGTAACTTCTATATTTCCTTTTCCTGGATCTTTATGTTCATCTGCTGTTTGCATTAACGCCTCCCCTTCCTTCATTTCTGGAGGCAATTTCCCATCTTACATTAATGAACAATAACCATCAATCAGCATACTGCAAGGTTTTCTTTCAATAAGCCAATGTACTTGTGGACGATTTTCCTCAAATAATGAACATAATTTTTCTTTCATGATAGAAGAAGTATTTAAATTTTAAATCTATCTCATAAATCCGCCAGAGTCTTATTTTCTTATGTCTTGTTAACTCGTTACTGTTTTTTTTTGTTTTTGTTTTATCTGGTTGGACTTTTTCGTCTTGCCTTGGTGAGAGCTTTTGATACCTTGCAGTCTTGGCTGTAATGGCTTGGTTTCCCACAAATATAAGTTACTTCTTTCTGGTATCCTTTGAAAGCTCTTATTTCATACTGGTTTTGTCATAATTCCTGGCAATATGTCCTTTCAACGTACACTTGAAACATCTATTATCTTTGGGTTTATTTCCTCTGTTCTGTTTCATTAGACATCTCACTAATTTATTTAGTTTTTCTATACTGTTGTTAGGGGAAGTTGATGTTTCAATAATGCAGGATCTGATATCTCTGTAACTTCCAGATGGTGCCTTCATTAGTTCGTCTGTGACCTTAATGAATTCCAGTTCCATTGCCAACTGCAGAGCTTTCTTTAAGGACTTACATCTACTTGTTTTCAGCCTAATTCTTATATTCTTTTCTGTTATGGCATCTGTAAATTGGTCACTTGGCAACCAATCCATCATTTCACTAGGAATGTTCGGATGATATAAATGGTTAAGCCTTTTTTTTCTTCCACAAGTTCAGCTAAGGTATCGTCTTACCTCTGTATACCCTATTTTTGAATTTTCCTCTGGATACTTCTTTCTGGTGTGACATTCTGAACCTGTTGGTTAAGGTGGCCAGCAATACTTGGTAGTTGTTACAGCTCTCTGCTGGAAAGGTACTTAATGTTGTCATATCTAATTCTTTTAGATGGGCAGCAGGATGGATGGCTCATTGTTCACTATTCCACTTTATAAACTCTGGGAATTATTTCAAACTGAGCCTGGTATGACTTCCATGGTACCTTTTCATCATAGTTCGTTGGTTTCTTTATTAGCTGATGTTGAACTACCCAGCTAAATTCTGCAAATGGACTTGATGGTGTTATGGCTAGAACAGTCAAGGAAGGTCCTTCAATTACAGGTGGTACGGTAGTGGTAATAGGTGTAGATCAAATAAGTACTCCTATTCCATATTTTGTGTTAGATAGTGTTCCAGGCTAAAACTCTTCAACTGATTCAGAAAGAGATGTGGCTGGTTTAATTTTCATATTTAATAATTCATTTTCCAAATGTTTCATTCTTTCATTGATGTTATTTTCTACCTTACTGACGTCTTTTTGTACATCTTCAATTTTATTATCACAGCCTTTCTGTACATCTTTGATATCTTAATGCATTTTTTCAAACTTGCTGTTGTAATCACTCTGTACGTCTTCAATACCTTCATTAATCTTGTTCTCAATCAGTCGTATTTAATTTCTAGTGCTACATCCAACATCTGATACCAATATAGTTGCGTAGTTCTTTCGTTGGCGTATTAAACTTTATGGTGAAAATAATTCAATATCCAGTAGATGTAACCACAATAAATTACTTTACTTCCTCCTTTAACGTTTTTACAAACTTGAACACTTGTACACTGCCGTAAATTGCTGTGAGCTTAAATTACAAATGACGTTAGTAAACTTAAAAGAAACCAACTTATTTGCACAACATAAATGCGATAACTTACACACTGACTAGTTTAATCTCTGTTCTGAGAAAAAACGTCTACACTTCACAATCGTCTTGTATTTATAATCTAACTTGGAATGGTTCAGAACACTTTAAGTTACATCCTTAGAGTTTTCTAGAGGTCTGTCGTAATAAACTTTTCGATCTTAGCTTTTTTTATTAAGACCCATAGCTCCCTCTTGCCAACATTTAACTTACAATATAGCCTACAACAGTAGTTTATAACTTATACGACAAACGAATTTGAAAGCACGTATGAATTTACGCGCGTGCGCGCGTGTGTATGTGTATATACCTACCTATGCATAGAGGTGGCTAATAAGTAGTAAAACCATATGTTAGCAGTAAGTGACTATCCCCAAACGTTTGCCTCGTGTCTGCTCTAGAACAAAAGTATTCTAAACAAACACCCAAACTCCCTAAAAACTACCTGCAACAATTATCAACACACTCTTACAATTTGTTTTTTCGAACTAACGTGTAAAGGCAACATTTAAGCAGATAAACAATTTCCTGTCAGGTAAGTGCTTCACAAAATGTAAAAGTTTATTTCACAAGTAATGTAGCAGTATGGCGGTATGTTCTGATCACATACTTTTTGAATATTTTTTTTCATTGTCTCTACATTTTAATAATAGAAAACACAATTTAGCGTAAAAAACGTGTTTCTAAGTTAATTCTAATTGGTTTGTTTCTTTAAAATTTCGCGCAAAGCCGTCCTTAATTTAGCAGTGAAAGACTAGAGGGAAGGCAACTAGTTATCACCACCCACCGCCAACTCTTGGGTTACTCTTTTACTAACGAATAGTGGGATTGACCGTAACATTATAACGTCCCCCATAACTGAAAGTGAGAGCAGTTCGGTGACGGGATTCGAACCTGCGACCCGCAGATTACGATTCGAACGCTCTAGCCACCAGTCATGCTAGGCCTACCATTAATTGAAATTTATCCTATGTACAGGACGTGTATAAGCGACTTTGCCATTGATCATGCGACAAATTCAGGTTTTGCATTAGCTCTAAAATACTTCAATAATAAGTTTTGCTGGCCTACTAGAATATTCATGATAATATGTAAATAAATAAATACAAGGGGCCTAGTTACAATAGTTATAAGAGATGTAGATATATGTAGTTTCACTGGTGACGTGTACAACAAATGCAGTGAAGTAGAGAATGTACGCCTTCGGCCCTTATTTCACGAACAAGCAGTTTTTATGATAATCAAGAATCAGAAAACCGTAATTTTGAACATTCTTAATCTTAATTTACTTTTAACGCTCTTGTTATGAAAACGAAATAATCATTAAATACTGAATCACTAAATGAACTAAATAATAACTCTTAAACTAAGCAGTTTACCTTCTACAGAATATAATTTGCACAGCACAGTACGTATCTAATAACTCTGCACAGTAGGGTATATTTTTGATAACTCTGAATAGTACAGTATGGTACGTATTTAATACCTGCATAATACAGTAAACTACATGTACAAAGATCTGCACAGTAAATCATGGCATATATATTAATAGTTCTGGAATTAGAGACATATCAAAATCCTACACAGCTCAGCAATCTGCATTTTTAAACAACTATGCATAGTATAGCACGTTACATATAAAACATCATAGACTATATATATATATACTACTTTTGTATAATCTAATAGCTCTGCAAATTACAGTGTGCTCCATATCTAATAATTCTGTACATTACGGCAGTGTGCTCTATATCTAATAATTATGTACATTACGGTAGGGTACAGCATGCATTTAGCAGCTGAAATGAACTTACTATTGTATTTGAATATAAAATGCCAAACGCGAACAACATTTGCTTGTTGTTTTTAGTAATTTTTATTTAACTAAATGCATTGTTTGCATTCTCATTCTGAACAACAGGAGGAAACAGTATGAAATGTTTTACCAAATCAGTATGTTTACAATAATTATACTAGGTAATTTCTGCAAACTTTCCAGCCCTCGTAATTTGGAGAGCGGTTTAGTGTTAAAAATGGTGGTTTTTACAATGAAATAATTATATTTAAATGAACAATAAATAAACACTGCATCATTGAAGTTAGTTATATACTATTTTATATACCTCTGTCCATATATAGCTTTAACACTACCAAGCACGTGTAATGAAGTAAGAAAACTAAGCAGTAGAGGAGACCCTGCGTTCGAAGCTTTCCTTCGAAAAGCCCTAGATGTTTTTAGAGAAAAAATGAAAGATGGCTTAGGGCCAATTCCTCCGCTGGATCCGTTACTTCTTAGCAACTTGAAAATAAATGTAGATGATGACATTGTGAAGATGGATCTAACATTTCATAAGGTACGAAAACTTTAATGTTTGTCTCTTGATGTTAACAGATATTTTCATGACCAGGACGTTTATTTTCAAACATGTAGAGTTAAAATGATTGAAAACTCTGGATGTTTTGCTAATAGTCCATCCCGATGGTTAGTGGAACAAAACTCTGTGCCTGTTTATAAACAACACGTATTAAGATAGTTTGGATAAGGATAGAATAAATTAGTTAAAAAGTATTAAGGTCTTAGCACAAACTTTTATATTTCTATTACTTTTTACAGCGGAATATTAATAATAACGAACAACTGAAAAAGGAAGTAATTTTAGGGACGCACAACTAAGACCAGAATTTTTATTTCTAACAAACAAAAGTCCAAATCACGGGCGGTTCGGATTTAATGAGCATTTTGCACATCATAGATTATTATATACGTCAGTTATATTAAACAAGCCAATTTTCAAACTTGAACAAGGCTTATATGAATGTAGTGTCTTAAATAAAATCAAATACTGCTGTCACCATTTTTATTAAAAGAAATAGGGTGTTGAATGGTCATCTCTTAGACTCAGAATAATGGGTGAAGAAATTGCTCGATAATCTATCCGGAACTTGGAATTATTATATACGTAATTTATTCTTAAATAAGTGCTAATTGTGTGGCCTAAAGTTTTCTAACTTTCTCATAAACGCAGAAAATGTTATTCCCGTGAGAACCACAAACGGATAAGAGAATCTATATTCACTACAGAAAGATAAGGGTAGTGACGGCAGCCAAAAAAGCGTTGCGAATTTCCCGTCTCTAGTTATCTTTCTCACACGAGTGGAAGAGTACTCATGAAAAATAGCTGAACAAAGCGTAAATCCTATAGGTACTTAAACCCGCAATATCCTAGGTTTAGACTACCATTCACTGTCCTTGGACGATTAAAGGTATGGTAGTAACCTTACATTATAAAAATGAACTTTATGTAATAGTCCTATAAAAAGTATGATGAAAATACCCAATCACCACGCGATACAGTGTAGATAGGAATATACAGTTCTTAAACTCGTGTGAGTGTAGTGGAAACATATGAGATTAGTACTGTGTTACTTTCCTATGTAATACGATGAAATGTTTTAGTGAGTATATTGAATTCCATCATTTGAGACATAACCGTAGAGACTGGATATCCTAAATGCTTTTTGGATGATATCATTAAAGTTATCCTTTTGAATTTATACCCTTTGTGTGGATATAAATCTATGTTCGTGGTGTGCTGCGGGAATTCAATTTTATTGTTTACGTCTGATTTATGGTGCTGAAATTTTCGCCAATTTTGCAATTAATTACGATTTATTCACTTTGTAGTTTAATATTCGTATAAATATATATATAAGAATAACATACATATAAATGTATGTAATATATATAACAATAATGCACAATTGTATGTATGCATATATATATGTGTGTGTGTCCAAGAAAGTGAATTAAAAGTACACAAGCGTTTTAACGATTTTTTTCCAGAAGAAATGATCAACAGACATGAAATGTTCCAACATTTTTAATGGACACATAAAATATTCTTCACTTGGTATTTGTGTCAGTCTTTTTGTGTTTATTTTCAACTTACATTTCTGCTTTTTAATCCTTCAATTCAAGAAATTAATCATTTCTGTTTTTTAATCCTTCAATTCAAGAAATTAATCATTTTAGTTTTTTCACTTTCTATAATATAAATTAACCATGTTAGTTTTCACTTTCTATAATATAAATTAATCATGTTAGTTTTCACTTTCTATAATATAAATTAATCATTTTAGTTTTTCACTTTCTGTAATATAAATTAATCATTTTAGTTTTTCACTTTCTGTAATATAAATTAATCACTTTAGTTTTTCACTTTCTATAATATAAATTAATCATTTTAGTTTTTCACTTTCTACAATATAAATTAATAATGTTAGTTTTACTTTCTGTAATATAAAGTAATCATTTTAGTTTTTCACTTTCTATAATATAAACTAATCATTTTAGTTTTTTCACTTTCTATAATATAAATGAATCATTTTATTTTCACTTTCTATAATATAAATTAATCATGTTAGTTTTCACTTTCTACAATATAAATTAATCATGTTAGTTTTTCACTTTCTATAATATAAATTAATCATGATAGTTTTTCACTTTCTATAATATATTTCTGATTTCATTTTGTTACATCTAGGTAATGTATTTTCTACTAGAATGAAGTACTTATAAGATTTTCTATTATAACACAGATATATATCTTGCCCAGAGGTAAATTTATAGCCTCTTCTTTGACAGCCCTCAAGGCAGACCTCCATGTTGTTTCACTCTATGCTTTCATACACAATTAACCGTGCAAAACATTTTGATGTATCTTTGAACAAATTGACGATTGTATCTGACATATGGTTTTTAATCTAGCTTTTTAAAACGAGAAAAATATTATATTACATATGATATTTTGGTCATGTGTATGTGGATAAAAACTGTATATTTGTATGAAGTTGATACTCTAAAGAATGGTAACTAACAGGAAATGAATTCAGTTGTTAATAAAACTGAATTAGTTCATGAATGCCTTAGTTTTACTTAACTGATTATTTACTTTAATTAAAAGTTGAGTATTGTATTACCAAACATTAACTATATGCATTAATACAAATAATTTGCTCTAAATCAAATACTTGCTTGATTTTTTACAATTTTTCTGATTTTAATTCGTAACAAAATCCCATTTGTTTATGAACATATACTAATGAAAATAAGTTATCACGACCTAGTTTTTCTAAAAATACATTTTTACAATCTTAGAAGAACTGACAGAGAAAACGTAAAAGTAGTATGTTCATTTTATGCCTTGTGCTACTTGCTATGCAAAGGTAGTAACTTTAACTATGAAAATCGTTCAGGTGTTTTATCGATGTTGAAATATTGTAACAGTGAATGTGAGGCGTCGAGATCGGCCTATAAGAAAAGATAAACGTCTCATTCATCCACCAAACTCTATTAAATCCCTCATAAAATGTCTATACTTCTCTATGCTTGCTTTCAGGTTAACATCAAAGGTCTCTCCAACTTCGAAATCAAAGATGTCAAGTCAAATCTGGTATCGTTCAACACTAAAATAAGCTTCACCATACCGAAAGTTTTGGTTACTGGGACGTACTCTTTAGATGGTCATATCATAAATATGTTTCCTCTATCTGGTAAAGGGAAGTATCAAATAGAAGGCGATAACATTACCTTTACGTTTTCTGGTCGATTGGTCTTCAGTTTGGATGACATCAAGTTGTCGTCTTTGTTACTTGACCACCTTGAATGGAGGAACGTTCGTGTGGTAGAACTTGCTGATTTTCTTGGTGGAGGTGTGTTTGCTGAAAAGATCGCAGAATTACTGCCAACTGTGGGAAAGGGGATGTTTGAGAGGTTTCAACCGAAACTGGCTGAACTGACCAATACATTGTTGTTAAACGTTTTAAATCATGAGCTGAGAAAACCTGAAGTTCGAGAAATCATAAAAGACTTTATCCCGACCGTTTGAGAATCATTGACAAAAACTTCGCAATAACATGAGTATAAATCTACCACAAGACCTATTTTCTTAAGAGAACACAAATTTGGAATTCACGGTATAAAGTTAGACAGATTTTTTAAGTCGACCAACTTACATTTGTAGGCTTAATCTGTAGTTTATAGCCAAATGCTGTTTTTAATTTCAAGTTAACGTGAAAAGAAGTTATTGTATTAATAAAACTTTATTCAACTCGAGCTTCAATGTTTCATTTATTATACAAAAGTTATCACAGAGAAACATAAGACAGAAGCAACACGGATATAAGTTATTGTACACAGTGTAGCTGTACGCTACATGGACAAACAGAAGGGAAGTTACATAATGTGTGACGTTACTTTAACTACTTTTACCTTATAGTCAAGTACCGCGTGTATGTTTGAGCACCTGAAATTTATTTCGTGGATTTTTATAAAGGGTCATAGGGTAGTAAGAAACGATACTCACATGATGTCACTTCATGTTTTCCGTATTTATGAAAAAATTCAATAATTGAGTTGTATGGTCAACATGCGTATAACATGAAAGCACATATATACTGAAAGTAAATCAAGTCCTGGTTACATTGGAAATGATCACGATGTATTTACAGTTAATTTTTGTATGTTTTAGGGATTTCTTCAACTATTGTCCCACGGTGGATCAGCAGTAAATTTCCATGACTTTCAATGCTAAAATCCTCGGTTCGATTCCTTTTAAAGAACAGAATGCAGATAGCCCATCACGTAGATTTGCGATAGAAAAACACATCTTTCAACTATAAATTGCTGCACACATGGCATATTAGGAGCACACAATGGCAACAACATTACAAGGAAAACATAGTACTACAGTCACATTTTTGTCAAGTGGAACAGTGGTAAGCCTGAAGGCTTATAACGCTAAATTTCTGGTTTCGATACCTATGGTGAGTAAAGCACAGATAACCCGTTTTGTAGCTTTATGATTAATTATAAAAAAAGCAAGACTATTCTATTCCTGCCGGCAAAATTAGTCGTAGTATTTGCCAAAATGTCTTGTTGGCACTATGTATAACAGACCGTGTGGTTGGTATATTATTACATTATTCTTTACTCTCTTTCATAAGTTCTCATAATCACCATAGGCTGTCAGGTCGAACTGTTGATAGGACAAGGAGTCTCAATGTATCACGTCAGATTTTTCTAACCGTACTGTTGAGGGTTGAGTCCAGGTCCTTTGATGAGAATGTTGATCCATGTGTGACGTTGTTGATATGCTCGTTCAATGTGGAATTTCACGTTTGAAGATGTAAGGTGCAAGCCTTTCAAAGTTAAGACTGATCTGCATTTGGTGATACTGCTTGATACGCATTGCATTACAAGTAAAACTATCACGAACAAGAACACGACAGGTAAAGTATCTGCTTATAATGTTTGTGGAAAGTATTGCACGCCAATGATCGATGAGTATTTCTGTTGAGGATTGAGCATCTTTCAGAGCTGGAACGTTTTGGCCAATTGTAGTTATTGTATTACAAGTAAAACTATCACGAACAAGAACACGACAGGTAAAGTATTTGCTTATAATGTTTGTGGAAAGTATTGCACGCCAATGATCGATGAGTATTTCTGTTGAGGATTGAGCATCTTTCAGAGCTGGAACGTTTTGGCCAATTGTAGTTATTGTATTACAAGTAAAACTATCACGAACAAGAACACGACAGGTAAAGTATTTGCTTATAATGTTTGTGGAAAGTATTGCACGCCAATGATCGATGAGTATTTC